ACTGTCTTCTGGAGATTATGAGTTTTTAACAGTACAGACATGGGCTGTTTTCTCCCGTGTGGCCTCAGTACCATCAAATGGGTCCAAGATTGTTTATGTACTAGTACAGATGTAGCTAGAGAAGCTCATGATGTGTATGTAAATTACTGTTATACATTGAGAAAGATGTTTGGATATTGCTATGAAAGATCATATAAACTTATTTAGCTCATTGTTTCACTCAGCCATCACTATATAGAGGAAAACTAACACCTCAGTTATTTCCATGGCCAAGATACGTACTTTTGTACATAATCTTTCTTGGAGACCCCACTTAATCATGGTAAAATTACAGTATTCTGACTGCACAAGTTTGTCGGGCTGTTTCTTCTTTTGAATTAGTTGCTGTATTATTAGTATTAATGAATGTTTTGCTAATATGGCCAAGATATGTACTCTTGTACATAATCTTTCTTGGAGACCCCATATAATCATGGTAAAATTACGGTATTCTGACTGGACAAGTTTGTCAGACTGTTTTTTCTTTTGAATTAGTTGCTCTATTATTAGTATTAATGAATGTTTTGCTAATAAAGGGCAATTTGAGATAGGAAGGGAGCAAAAATGTATCATTTAACAGTATCTTTTACAGCGTTTTGATTTTTCTTGTAGTGTATCCTTGTATCGGGGAAATTGCCGACCTCTCCGGTTTGAGCCACCAATGCTGGATTTCCATGAACAGTAAGTTGAAAAGTCTTTTCTGTTTAATTAGACAAATAGTAAAAAACATCTGAAGAGCATTTAAATCTGATGGAGAAGTTTGTATACATAAATTGCATTGGTAGATTGTCCGTAAGTGTAGATGACCTACTTGTTGCAGAGACCTGGTGTGCTCAGTCTTAAACATCATGTAGTGACCTGTCAGCTGCCATCGTTTTGGTAGTGTAGGTACCTGCACTTAGTTTTCAGGTACTTGTACAGCTCCTCTGCAGAGTGGAAACAGTTTTAAGTCTAGACCTTGATGTACTGAGGTGAGCTTACCTTTCTGCTTGTACATAACCCACGTCAGAGAGCATCTACTCTAGCATGTCTATTTTGCTGTTGCTTTGGTGGCAAAAAAACTTTGTCAGCAGATCTGCAGTTACTAGAACAATAACGTAGAGTTGTGAAAATACAGCCTCCAGGAACCTAGCTCTGTGCTCCACCTTGCAGCTGGTTTACAGCAAACTTGCCTGCAACTTCTCTAAAAGAAAGGAAGGAGGAAGGCAGATTAACAATTTCAACAGTGTACCTGATTGTAATCAATTCCTCCTGAGAACTGCTTCAGTCTTAACTTTTCTCACTGGTTACTGTGTATAGGTAGCTACAATCATTCCTCTCGTTAACAGGCAAAATCAGTTCTGGGGTTGGTGTAGATGGATGCAGCCTCTGTGCATGGTTGATAACTTTGACACGATGTGAACTGCAATGAGGGCATTTCAAACATTTTGTTAACATTCAAGCGGGAAGAAAGGAAACAGCCCAGGTGGGCCTTAGCGGCAGTATTGCTTCCCCATCCTCAGCCAGCACTGCTGCTGGATAAAAAGCTGCTTTATCTACAGATAAGCCATGGATTATTAATAAAAATATAGTACCTCTTGTCTGTAGGAAAGACCATTGTACAGTATGGTGACTACAGAGATGTGCAAGGAAGCTCCTGTGTATTGACATGGTTTATACTTCTGTGTTTCTGAAAGAAGAGAGGCTGTAACTGTATATTGTTGGCACAGGGTAGTTTTCCAGAAATAACCTTTGTACAAAAAACAAACGTAATGCCATTAAATAGCAAAGCTATCTGAAAATACCTCATTTTACAGAGTTTATTTATGCACAGTCTGACAAAACTGTAACTTTTACTTCTGAGTAAAGACGTAATAAATCACTCTGTTCCGTCTTCCTTATTCCTTCAAAATTTCAGAATCTGTAGCTTTTGATGGGGTGTGTGTGGTTTTTGTTGTGGGGTGGTTTTTTTTGTAATGTCAGTAACTGGTCCTAGGTTAAGAGGATATTGAGCTTCTAAATTGAATAGTGTAATACCTAGTTGTAAGCCCTGCTCTACTGCGTCTCTCCTTAACAAAGTTAAGTTATAGTTAACAAATTATACTGGTGAGTGCAGATGGAGTCAAACTTGTAGAGCAGTTTATTCTTTGTTAAGTGTAAACTTACCTATTGATTTGGTTTTAAGTGATTTTTCTCTTAAAATTGTAAAAGTTTTCAGTTCATAGTAATTACAGAATTTGACATTTGAAATGGATTTTATACACCTTTTTCTACTATAAATAAAGTGTTTTGTTGATGTGCTCTGAAGTATCTTGCTTTTAAAGGTCATCTATAGTTTGCATGCTAATCTGAAGAAAGCTACATATGCTTCTTTGCTTTGTGGATATCCAAAGATGTTTGGGGGTTTCCCTCCCCCCCTTGCTAAAAATAGATACCAGACAGTGTCATAAATACTTTAAGCCGTTCTTCATTATATTTTGGCTTTTTATGTAAACTGTTCTTGTCAGACCTGAAAGCATTGAAGAAATAGTGTAGATCTAGCACACTGTTAAAGTAGTGCAAATCTCTTAGGAAGGGCTCTGTACAATAAATGCAGAACTGCAATGGGGTATTGCTGCCTTTTATCAGTTAAAATAAGGAACCTGTGTGTTAGATCTTGGTTCATTATGTGTTCTGTTTTATTTTTGTTGTAACAGTATATGATAATTAATTTGTCTGTTGTGGTTTAGGTCATAATCTCAGGCAGAAATAGTCTTCTGATTTATTAGAACTTCAGTAAGATGTCAAAAAGTTTTAGAAAAGGTTTAGATATGGAGCTCCAAAGTTCAGTTTAAAATCTGTACTTAGGCATTTAAATAAAATTGAACCAACTCTGAGAAATGCTGAGTAACTCAGCCTTACGGTAGAAACAAACTGCAGGTGCCAAGCACCTTGAAAGTCAAATAATGCAGATCCAAGCTTTTTACTTTTTTGCCTTTTAAAATAGACAGGCTTTTCACATTCAAATTCTGGCTTTTCTTTCTTTGCTAATAATGGATTTTAGGAAAGGCATAAAATGCATATTTAGTTTCTGAGTAAGTATTGTACCTCAATGGAGTTTTGTTAATAGGTAGCATGTAGCATTTAGAAGAGCAGGCTTGTTCAAAGTTCATGTTTATGCTGAGCTATCAACTTTTATCATTCCTAGGCTGAAGAAAGTTGCAATATTTAATTTCAGTTGTAAGCTAACCCATTCTTCCTTCAGACGTTTTTGGTCTGCTGAGAGTGTGTGGATTTAGTCAGATGTTTCAAAAACATGCCAACTTGAGCAGGAATAATATTTATTAAAAGTTATTTTATCTAGGAATCTCAGAAAATCAAAATCAGTATTAAGATGATAAATAGGTGCTGTAGGCACACTTCCTCTGTTCCACCTGGAGATGAGATTACAATGGCCTTAGACTTCTCTTTTATAACAGTTGGGGTTTTTTTAATGCTGTTTTAGTATAAAAGAAGCACTACCATATTCTCCCACTTTGAAGTCAGTCCAGGTAATCTCACATTTATCAAAGGAAATGTATGCTGCATGTTAAGATACGCAAATCTTTAGCTCACTTGAAGAGATCCCAAATGTTCTCTGTATACATTAAGCCTCTGGGAATGGGGTGGAACTGAGACAAGCTCTCCCATAGATATTACTGCTCCAGGAGATTGCTAGGACTGAGTGGAATACTCATTTGGTTACTTAATGTGAAAGCCTCGTGCTTGTGTTTCTGAAGCAGTGCTAGTCTTCCTCTGGAACAAATTCTGCAACGTGTTGGATATCAGCGATTCGGGACTTGAAAGAAAACAAATAAGCAAAGAACCTCCACCCCAAACCAACTCCACAACTACCTGCCTTTATTCTTAGCTGTGTTCTGTTCCTTGTGAGCTCCCTTTTAATCTATTACTCTCCCCTGTTGTTAAATGGGAGTGGAATAATTGAGGTGTTCTAACATACAGACAGTAACTATGTCAAAAGTAAACTTTGTAAGTTCTTCACAATTAAATTTTTGGTAGAAGTAACTTTTGGTAATGGAGCACTTGGACATTGAGTGTTTTAGAATACTGACACAATATAAGCTAGAACTGCTTACCGTAAAAATTTTAAAAAGTAGAATTATTTTAAAGATTAAGTTGACATCTTATCCCTGCTTCATAGAAATGATTGGTAATGTATAAAATGATTCTTTTTAGCAAAAGAAATATTTTAATCCTTGATCAGCTTGTGCTTCTGTGGTGAATGGAGGTTCTTGCTTCACTCAATTTGAGCAAGAACCCATTCTCTAGAAAAAGTTTTCTCGTTGGTAGGCCAGTATTCTGAAAATCTGTCTCTTGGTTTTCTGTTCATAAACAATCTCACTTTGCATTTCCTTTGAAATGTTTTGCTTAGGGGATTTTTGTAACATTTTAATGTTTCTTGTTTATGAGTTCTGGTATTTGGCAGAATATTCTGTGGAAGCTTGAGGTGGCCTTGAAAGCAATTGCTTGGTAATGTTCAAATACTTGAGACTTTTATCTCTTAACAGTAAATAGTGTAGAAATTTAGCAACTAGAGTTTATCCAAATCGCTCGTTTTCTTGCATTTTAGACAAGTATATTTATAAATGGTGGAAGGATCTATAAGGTACCTATAATGTGAAGCCAAATGTTTACACAGTATGTTTGATATACTTCTAACGTGTGAGAGTTTGAGATTGCTGGAATTTTTAGAAAGTGTTGCAAAATGAAATTTTCATTTCCCTTGGAGTTTGTTAAATGTAAGAAACTGCTGACTTTAAATTGACATTTAGTCCAGATCTACCTCTAGTTTTGTTAGCATATCATGCTAGCCTCCAAAATGCTGCCAAAGCAAGTAATTGTTTATTAGGCGCTTAGATTCATTCAGGTCACAGTTGGTGACATGACTGGGTAAGACTCTACTACTGGTGTTTTGTATATGGGGTTTTGCTAACTGGAAAAGGTATGATTTGTTGTATGGGATCTAAGTTAGATTCCTAACATGGAAGGGGACGTTTGCTCCGTTTAGTGTGTTACATGGATGCGAACTTTTTGTCAAGTGTAATATAAAAGAACTTTCTTGATTTGTTAAAAGCCAGTGAAATCTGGAAGCTGAGAAGGAATTGGTCTATAGGCTAGTACATATACAAAACCAAAACCCTTCTGTTTTCTTTTGCTTTTCCGAATTGGGGACGCATTTGCATTCTCAAACGTACGTGCTTCAGTTACTCTAACTTCAGTTAAAGCAGCAGCTTGCCTTTGTCACTCAACCAGCGATGCATGCAGTTTCATGTGAAATGGGAAGAGTGCTCCAAGTTACTAATTCTCTAGTTTTGTACATCGTGCAGGCTTCCTTCACATAAGGAACTAGCGTTTTCTTCAGAATGGGGTACAAAAGGCATTCCCTTTCAGTCTCGAGAGGTAACCTTGTAAGACCAGCTCACTTCATTAAAAGTAGCTGGATGCGTTACAAGTCAACACCCAAGTTCTTACTGTTGGAGCTCCCTCTGATCTTCTGGCTGGAGAACCATCTGCGTTGGTGCAGCAAGTTCCCAGGCTGCATGTACTTAGAGGCTAGGAGAGTTTTCTGGGCACCTCATTCTGTGTGCTTTCCACATTATTATGCTTTTGCCTTCTCGGTGTCTGCTGTTCACTCCTGTCTGAACCGGGATACTGATTTAACTTTTTGATTTAATTTACTGATTTAATTTTTTTATATACTGTGTGACAACTGATCTTACAATTGCTTCAGCAGTTGCCAAAGATGCTAAAAGAAAAAAAATACTTAGGGGAAAACATAGTTGTTAAACTCTTAAATTCAGGAGGAATTTACCTCAGTTAAATCTTGGGTATATTTATCTATATTCCAAAATCTCAGTGGGGAACTTTTGGTTGACTTCAGTTCTCTCTAGTCTCATTAGAAAGAATAGGAGATGGAAGAGAAGGAATGTATCTGCTGAATTTATATCCTTTGCTATTCAGTAATAGATTTGTATCTGTTTTCATAAATCAAGCGAGCATTTTACAGAGGTGTCCAAACTATATGCAGTAAGAAAAAAATGTGATTACTGTTTTAAAAGGACATTTTCTCAATCCATATTTGCTTCTCGGTGAGTAGCTAGATATTTTTGCAAGTTAAGTTTAGGCCAATAACTCAAGGACTCATCTCCCCAACTTTTTACAGGAGCTGGTTTCAATTGTTAAAAAAATTGCCTCTTGATCCCTGGAGCAGCAATGAATTCCATTACAAAGACATGCTTACCGTACACTGCAGATACTAACTCAGACTTTGGAAAGAGCTGAGTTGTGGCAGTAAAGAGTGTGAACACAGGCTATTTTACCCATTTGAACAGGCACCTCACTCCTGTTAATTACCATCTTCTCATCTAGGTTGTGGTATCTGGTTTTTATCAGCGTAGGTGGACCTAGCATTATGCAGGGACAAAAGATCAGGAGCAAAATCTTACGTGCTTTGACAGTTCGTGTTTGCCTGAAGGTGTATGTCTGTACCAGCTTCTTGCAATGAAAAGTGCTAACTGTGACTGCTCCAGGAAATTCTGCTGTAAAATTTGGCACCAACGCTATACTTATGTGGAGATCATTGCGGCTTGATAATCCGCAGCCTGGAGATTGTCCCTTATGTGATTATTGCTTGGGATGTAGGTTCATTAAAGATGTCTGGTGCACAATGCTTTACCTGGATTTTACCGTATCTGATGGCAGAAAAAGCGAGAGACGTTTGTCCTATTTCTGTAGATTTGATTGACATCAAGGTTTAAAAAAATGTAAGGAAAGCTGTGTCTGAGCAAAACAATAGTGGACTCATTGTTTAAAAATCAGAATGGTCATCAAAATAGTAAAATAAAACATAGTCCTAGCAACAGAATTCATTTTTAATGACTTCTGCCTTTATCACCTATAATTGTACTGTGTTACTTTAGTCTGGAATCTAAAGTTACTGAACTGTGATGTCTGTCATGGCTGCTTCCCTACTAGTTGTTTTATAGGCTTTAGCCTCCCAAATATACTGTCTTCTATTCCTCTCTTTTCAGAACTGGAAAAGCATGGAGGCCTTAAAAGATTGTTAATATTTGAAACATTTCCTGGGATAATGAGTTTTACTTCCAAACTACCTTTCTGACAGGAACAGGCTGGCACTTCGGTATTACTGGTTCATTCAACATAACCTCTGTTGGCTTTGCGGTGTTTTACACACTGTGCATCAAAAAAAGTGTCACTTAAATCAGCTCTGATCTTAGGTTTTTAGTACACAGCTGGCTGTCTGTAGAGACCACAGGTGATATATACTAGTCATGTTGTTTGCTCACATGTAATACAGTGCTTAAAATCTCCCTCATCTTCTCTCGCTTCCTGCTGTTGTGGTTGGCAAGAGCTGTTATGGTTGATTCTCGTTTTCGGCTCTTAAGATCCTCCTATGAAGACTGGTTGGAGTGCATTGTAATAGAGGAGGAGGATGGTTTCCCCTTCTTGGGCAGCTACTGAACGTGCTCTGGGGAAGAGAGGTATCCAGAAGCTGCACTGTGGCAAGCAAAAGAGTTGCAACAAGGTGCTGGGAGCATGTCTTCCACTGAGGAGGAGAGAACTTGCAGGGAGAACTAGGGAACAGACAGCTGATCCTTAGGAGAGACTGAAAGAGCTTTCTTCAGTGTTGGAGGAGCCGGACTATTTTATTCCCTTTTTTTTTTTTTTTTTTTTTGGGGTGTGGGGTGAATTTTTTTGGTGTGTGTGGTAGAATCAGAGAGTACTTGTTTAAGGCTTGACCACTCTCTCTAAACAATGAATTCACTGCAAAATTGCTGGCTGTTATAAAAGCTTGCTTATGCCTTTCACAGTTACCAAGCAGATAAAATGCTCAAGCCCATCTGTACTGATGTCAGTGGAGGAGTGTTTGAAGCAGTGGTTTCAGAGTTCAGGGGGTGCTGGGTGACTCTGTATCAGCAGACACTTTTCTCAGTTATGCTTTCATGCGTGAGGTTTTTTGTTTGGGTTTTTTTTGTTTGGTGTGGTTTGGTTGGTTGTTTTTCTTTTTTTTTTTTTTTTCCTGGGGTTGGAGTTGAGATGGGGAACTTTGTGGGGCTGGCTCCTGTTCAAATTCCTCTGGTTTGAAAAGCTTTTCCCTAGCAAACAGAGAACAGGTGTACAGGTTGACTGTTTGATTCCATTGATCAACTATGTAGCAGTTTCAGTAGTTAGTGCAAAACATCACAGCTGATAAACCATTTCCCTTTCTAATATCCCCATGTACACTGGCAACACATATGAGCACTTTTATGTTATGGCTTAACCTGGATGTTAGGTTTTGTACAGTTTTTAAAAGCTGAGAAGAGAAATTGTCATCTTCATTACCAGTTAAGTTAGAGAAGTCAAAATGACATTTTTTGACATTGAAAGAAGGATCACGAACAATCATGTTTGCTGATGGAGACATAAAATTAGGAGGACTCAGCAAGAAAAGCAAAAAGAACTACAGTAGTAGAGTGCAGATATATTGTACTGTTAGTGATGGAGTTTATTAAAGGTTAATGACTGTGTCTTTGAATTAATATCATGGTCTTTAGCATCCATCAGTTTAGCCCATGTTTCGTAAGTAGGAGGTTCTGTCTGTTACTGCAGTCACTTTGTAAATTGTGGTATAGTTTGGTTACCATCACTAAATCCTCCATTCAATGCAACCTTTAATTTACAGCAAACTTATGTTGCTCTATCGAGACACACCCACCCCAAGTTGAAAAACTGTGCAACTACAATAACACTTATTAATTTAGCCTCTTAAAGTTAACTGAGAATAGCAGAACAACTGCCTGTTATTGGTTGTCATCGCTTCAGGTACTACAGATAGTAATTATTATCAATAATTTTGTGGTGCTTGCAACGTTTGGAGCAGGTGACATAGGAGGAGGTGCTACATGGAATATGTGTAGCCTGAAAGTTAGTGGTTAACTGTTTTGAATTCCAAAAATTAGTTTTTGAGCAAATTGTAATCTACACACTTTGTTAGTGCTTTGGTGCTGATGCTTAGCACATATGTGTTAAAAGGCATGAAAAAAATTTTAAAGAGATACCAAAGTCTGAAAAAATATTTGGTGAAACTGAAGCATTTATTGTCATGTCAGATGTTGGAAGCAAAAAGCAGCGAGCCCAAAGCTTGTGTGGAAGAAATTGTTAGCATGTCTTGTTACTGAAAAAAGTGTGCTGTGTTGTTTGTTTGACTTCTGTGTTTTAGACTTCTTAAATTCTAGAATTTATCTCAAGCATTTCTTATTTTTTTTCCTTAAGGTATGAATTCAAATGCAATATACAAATAAAATAGTTGTTGCTACACACATCTGTGTACTTAATTCTGTAGAGCATGTTACAAAATATAATAGCAGAACAATTCTGGGGTCTGAGTAGGACTGCTTACAATCTAACTGAAAAAAAAATTGTGCTTAGACTTTTGTCTAGGGTGTGTTCTGTTTATTTTAAGTTGCTGTGTTCAACTTTTCTTAATTATTTAGAGGTTGTAGCACAGGAATAGAAAACTTTGCCTCTTCTGATTCTGAGGTAAAAACCTGTAAACTAGAATTTCATTTTGGATAGGTGTCATTTTAGAGGATGATACAACGTTAGGTAAGCCTTCAGGAAAAGTAACTAATAAAATAATGGAAAAGATGTTAACTAAGTAGTGATTCAAGGTAGAATTTACATATCTTATGTGAAAAAACAGTTAATGCAAAGTTTTAGTGTCCATGTTCATCACTGTTGTGTTCCTATCTGGTTTAATGGGACACAGCCCAATGCTCTATTTTCTGGAGCTCAAACAGTTTAAAAACATTCTCTCTCTGTTTTGACAGGCCAGTTGGAATGCCAAAAATGGAAAAAGTTTACCTACATAACCCTAGCTCAGAAGAAACAATTACATTAGTATCAATATCTGCTACGACATCACATTTTCATGCATCATTTTTTCAAAATAGGGTAAGTTCTACTCCTTTCTCAAAATGAGTTTTCTTTCCTCCTCCGCACCCCAAACAGGAGCTTGATTTCCCTCCCTTCATTAAATGAGCTACTTACTGCAGTAATGACACACCTAAAAGTATTAAGATACTGGAGTTCTTGATCTCCTATCACCTACCAAGCAAATTTGAACTGAGCATGGAAACACACAAACCCTACTGGAAGAGAAGGAATGAAATACTGCATAGGAGTTCTGACTACGTTGGAAGTGTATACCGTAACTGACGGTTTAACAGAAGATCATCTTTATTGCTGAAGTGACTTAAGTCTACGTTGCCTTAGAGCACGTACAGGAACAAGCTGTTCTTGTGATTTTTCTGAAAATTGCAAGTGCAGTGAAGTGGTGTTAGTGTGAAGCAGTCACTCCAGTGCACTCACAACTACGGCAGTCATGTTACAGGAACTTGCAAGTTAAAAAGCGCGGTGTCAGCAGGGTTAACTCTTAACCACGTTGCTGTCAGATACAGTCCTCTAGTTTTGGTTTTGTCTTCAGGGCCTGTGGCTTAGCAGGGGCGGTGTAAACAGTAAAAACTTCAGAAAACCTGTCTGTAAGCAACCTTTCTCACTTATGGATGTCTTGGAGTAATTGCCTTGTAAACTGTCAGTCTGAAATATTTCTGTGATAAGCTGAACTCTAGTTCGGAATTCAACATAAAAATTCAATTAAATATGATCCTGCGCTAGATCATAGTTGTAAAATATTGGTATTTTTATTATGTTGTTACACATTTTTATTCGTCTAAAACTTCCACTCTTTTTTTTTTTGCAAATCTGCAGTAGACTTTAGACTTGGAAAGACTTAGAAAACTTCAGTTTTCCATAAAGAACACATGGAGATCTTCTGTAGCACAAAAACTATTGTTCATCTGCAGGGTAGAATGTCTTCAATTAACAGTTTTGCTTACTTCTCTGCTTGCTTGCTTTTATTTTTTCCAGAAAATTCTTCCAGGAGGGAATACATCCTTTGATGTAGTTTTCCTCGCAAGAGTAGTGGGAAATGTAGAGAACACTTTATTTATTAACACTTCTAATCATGGGGTATTTACTTATCAGGTAAGAGAATTACAGTCTTTCAGAAAAGTTGTGAAGTGTAAATCAACTAGAGCAGTATCTATTATGGCAAGCTTAACCATCCAAGGATATTTGCACAATAGTGGGTTTTTATCAGCCCAGTTGAAGAAGTTTCAGTCCCTGCTGCTTGTTGTAACCCAGAGGTATACCATTGTAAATATGCGTAGGGCAGTACTGTAAGCCAGATCGATGAAATTATTTAGGGTTTAAAATCCTCCCAACAACTTTTTTGTGTGTGTTATTTTAGTGGCTCAGTGATCTAGCTCATTCTTTAGCTCTGTACTCATCTAATTCAGTGACGCCACAATGTTATTCATTAAGCTGGCAAAAAAAATTACTCGAGATTCAGAAAGATAAACTGGACGGATGAGAGAGTCTGAGAAGTGAGTGAAATCCTCTTGTTTAAAGAATATGACTCTTACCATGGCAATGTTTTGAAAACAACAACAAAAACGCTTCCCCTATGGGTAGTCTGTTCCATAATGGTATGATTAAAGGATATTTCACATCTTTTTAACCTTTAGCTGGTATCTAGTGTTTCACAAAGATGATATTTTGACTTCCTATGTTCTAAACATGTCAGTGTAAGTAAGTAGTAGCTATGAGAAATACCGTTTAGCTGCAAACTAAACCAGTTTCTTTATTTCAGTGCTTTAGCGTGATACTGGTTTTAAACGTTTGGTTAGAAGTATACTATAAAATTAATCAAAAAAGAGTACTTGGTAGATTACTAAAATTGACGCACATATGTTAGACTATGCAACAATTACATACAGCTACTTAAGCTTGTTTTTCTGATCCAGGTATTTGGCATTGGAGTACCGAACCCCTATCGATTGCGCCCGTTTATTGGGGCACGAGTTCCTGTAAATAGCAGTTTTTCTCCTATAATAAATATACATAACCCTCACAGTGAACCTTTGCAGGTGAGCCTAAGAGAAAATCACTAAATGCTTATTTATGTTTATGATACTAAACTGAAATTTTGTTTGTTTTGATACTTCTTAAAATTCTATTTGAACTTTAAAACTATTTGAGGCCAAGTCTTTCATATTATATAAATGTTTTTCAGTTTAAAAGCAAATTGGTCGTTCTAGAAATTGCAGATTATGCTCACAAATATCTTAATTTGCTAAACTGAGGTTTTACTGTGAGATTTCTGTTTTTAAAATGGTCTTAACTACTGCAAAATAAAGAATTAAACTTCACTGGTAATTAAGAAAAATACTGAAGCGAACAAAGTAAAATAGATCTTGTGCTTTTAATCCAGGCATGCCTCTTAGCTTCCTTCTGCTTGTTTTGCACAGCACAAGATGTCTTTACAGTGTAGTCTAGTATGCAACGTTGTCAAGCATTTTTATGTTAAGGCAGGATTGATGTCTGTACCTAACCAAACAAGTAAATGCATAGTCCACTGATAAATGTGATCTAATTCTGTTAAGTAAGTGATCCACAAACTGTGAAATGCTACAGAAAGCACGTAAAGTGTAGCAATAGCAAATGGCTATATCATCATTAAAAGTGAATTTGTGATACTGCACTGGTCAAATAGTTGCTAACCCATGCCATGGCACATTTTAATACCTGATAACTAAACCAGAATCCCTTTAAAGTTGAGTCCTAAGGTTTTCATGTTATCCACTTCAGGTGGTAGAAATGTATTCCAGTGGAGGTGATCTCCATTTAGAGCTTCCAACAGGTCAGCAAGGAGGTACAAGGAAGCTATGGGTGAGTAGTCATGTCTTGCAGCAATCATTGTACTTGTTTGGGGAGGTTTTATTTTGATATGATTTTAGGTTTGGGTGTTTTGTTTTTTTTTTACCAACTTTGTTTCTTGTCATGTAATCATTAAGAATACCCCATAAAATTGGAACAATAACAGGGTCTGTTAATTGTATGGTAATAGGAATTAAAGGAAAGATTTCATTGAAAGAAGCCATCTGTATTGAGCTGTGCTTTTTTGAAATGAGAGGAATAAGATGATTCAGAGTAGAATGAATTACACAGATCTGAACATTCAGGACAATGTAGTCCTTCTGATGGCCTGTGAGCTGGATCTATCCCATGGGAAAAACATATGGAAATTTAAAAAAAATTCATTTTACTTATTTTTTTTTTTTTAAACTGAGAAAGTCCTTCCTGCAAATCACTATGAATGCATACATGGGTTGAAAAAGCAGCTGAACAAACTTAAGGAAGAAGAATCTGGAAAGGACTGGTAAATAGAACAGCAGTGTGTCTAGCTGCAATAAATACCGAGATCATGAGTCGACAGTGTCTGGAAACTGTTCTGGAAAATATTCCTACATGCATGCCCTGCGTTAGTCTTTACTCTTCATGTCTGCTGCTGAAGACGAGGTAGTGGGTTGGGTGGACTCACAGTCTGACCCATTAAATCTCTTTTATTGTGTTCCTCACTTGATGTAGTTTTGAAGTAACACATAGTGATATCATTAAGCGAAATAATTTTTAGAAGGTAAAGTATTGGCTCTATGCTGCATATCACACTGTTGGTAGTGTTCAACTAGATACAAACCCTATTTTCTTCTTTAATTAGAATAATTCCTTTTTTTGATGACTGTTTTTTGTCTGGGAGAGACTTTAAAGTCATTGGGCTCCAAAACTTGTCTCTTGCTCAAGTGTGTCATTACAGTCACTGACAGTTACATATGTTGTAATGTGTAAAGCCAGGATATTTCCACGTGAGCTAAGGAGGACGATCACAAAACTTAATTCCTGGCTTTTCTGGAGAAAGTCCGTGAGAACGGCAGTATCTTGGTTTTAGATACAAAAGTTGCAAACAAGTGAGTATCAATAGAAATCGCAAGCATTTTCAAAAATGCAGTGGAAAGAGTAAACACATGCTGAGGATTAGATGTAAACATTAACATGGATTTTAAAAAACGAAGATTCTAATGTTTTGATACCATTTTATTCAAATGGCATTGCTTCTAAAGATAGCCCCTTCCTTGTTGTCAGAAGAACTCAAGGGTTCAATTTGGTAGCCATTAGCAGATATGCAAGAAACACGTTAGAGCCACAAACAAAAGAATAGAAGGTTTTTAAATGTCTGATTTATTTCTAGTTCTGTTTCTTAAGCGTGTAGCTTTTCAGCTTCTCTAGGCCAGGCTGCCAGTTAAGGCAACGATGACATGTATGTGAAAGCTTCCAGTCTTTTGCACGGAAAAACAGTTAGGTTAATACTAGTTAGTACTAATCCTCTGGTTTTTTTTCATATCAACCATTGGTATTTCAAAACAATAAAGCAACTAGAAGAAATTAAACCAATAGGAGGAAACACCCAGATATATCATTGTATTGGCTATGTCAAGAGGTGCACTGCACTTAGAAAAAAGCTGCGAAGTAGAAGAAATTATTTGAAATGTGGTGATGATACTTTGACGTATGGATGTACATCATTGTCTGAAATTGTTTTGATGCCAAATGTTTGGATGATTGGATGAAGCAGTCTGCATATGCTGGAGTATTTTTGTCTGTTCAGAGTTACTTCAGGGATCTGACAAACCCTGGATCCCTGGTTACATATGTGGAAGAGTCAAATCACATCCTGTGAAACATTAATGAACGGCTGCTTATATTAGATCTGTGAATAAGTGCAAAAACAGAACTTGAAAGCTTCTTAGTTTAGGGACTTACCAAGTAGTAGCAGTTGAAACTACTTACTTCAATATTCAACAGTTTTCAAAGAATACATCTACCATCGTTGTGCCATGGAAAGTATGGCTTGACCTCCAGAATGGATTGGTATGAGTTTGTACTACAGAAAGCACAGAAGAGATGAACAAGACAATCAGCACCTATATGGATTACGTCCTGTTCAGTTTCCTTCATCAAAAACACAAAACAAAGAAGCTGTCGACTGAAACATCATCAATAAATACAAGGACTACTCATCAAAAATTTCTACTTTCTACCATATTTATTTGCATTTAAAGTGGAAGAAGCTCCAAATTTCAAATCAAGGTTTTCATCTTCTATTTAAAAAAACAAAACAAGAAAAATGTAGATCCCCAGCCTTTCTGTAATGTGATGGGGAAGAATATGCAACGTTAGTATTTCAACTATGATTCTAAAGCTAGTCTTGTGCTGCAGCTGTGTCCAGCAAATACAGGAAGAGTTGTATTTCAAACCCTGAATGCAGATTGGAAGTGATGGAATAGGCTTGGTACAGACACTAAAACACATTTTGACTTTTTGCTGTAAATTGCTTGGTGACTAATAAACCTGCAGCTCTACAAGCTTCTGGCTACTTGCCATTCTGCAATATTTCAATTTATGTTTAGCACTGAAACTGTATGCCTTGGGTCTGCTTTGCAGAAAAAACAATTAGAATATGCAAAACCAATATTTGATGTTACCGCAGTCAAGAACATTCTTATGAATAGATTTTGTTTATTAGTAGATTCTGTCAATTTAGTCTACTGTCTTTTTAACCACAATTTTAGTACATAAAACTTAACCAAGTGGGCTGTGAAAGTCCTCTTGCATATACCTGTTTTTAATCAGTGTCATGTTAGATGATTTCAACTGTCCTTACTAAATATAATGGTAATTTTAATAACATGCAGCCTATCTCTTACTGCTATTGCAGCTTTTTCTCTTAATAAAGTTATACTCAATGCTTCTATTGTAATTTTTTGGTGTGGCAGCTTTTTTTGTAATTACTGCACTCTCATAGATGTGCTTTGATTATTTATCAGGAAATACCTCCCTATGAAACAAAAGGAGTGATGAGAGCCAGCTTTTCTTCAAGAGAAGCAGATAATCATACAGCCTTCATTAGAATAAAAACAAATGCCTCGGATAACACAGAATTTATCATTCTCCCTGTTGAAGTAGAAGTTACAACAGGTTTGTAGAAAAGTGGTTGTTTATTTGTTGGTGTGGTTTTATGTGGGTTTTTTTTTTAAGTCAGCTTAATAAACTTCCAGTGTAACAAGAAAATGGTAACCTTTTTTTTTTATTATTTTTTTTAAGCGCCAGGCATCTATTCATCAACAGAAATGCTAGATTTTGGTACACTACGAACGCAAGGTAAACTATATTTCAGGTCCTAAAGTATTTATAAGGAGTAGGGTGGGGAGGGGAAAGCCCAATTATCTTTTTACTATTCAGGGTTGCTTGTAGAATGATGCTTTTTATAAGCCAGTTTCAACGTGTTACAACAGTGTACAAATGTATTCACCTGCAAGTATACTTGAGATGTGTACAAGCAAACAGTAGTATGCACATCCTGTTACAAGTCTAGTAATAACATTAAGCCATGCGCAACTGTCTAAGACTGGTCTGAGAACCATTGTCAGTTTACTTAATTTGTGAACTTGTTTTGAAAGATTGCTTTACATCTGCATAAATTTAAATAATTTTCAGGCACAGGGTATAGTGAAAGTGTGCAAATAATCAGATTTGTTACTTGTTATAAGATTTTATTTTTTTTTTTGGAAGTGCCACTTACACATTTGTGCCTAACATTTTACATTTTAAATTAATATTGTTCAGTGAAATAAAAAAAAAAATCTGTATGACAGAAAGTAGTAAAACCGAAGGTATCTTTTGAAACTGTAAAAGGGACTCATTACTGAAGAACAACAGTATGTATCTTCTTTCAACTAAAAAAAGGTAGCCTCTGAAGTACTTTTCTTTGCAGCTTACTTAACATACAAAGATTTGTAAGTAAGATTAGTTTCTGCTGAGTATTGGTGCATCTGACAAAATCATTCATTGTAGTATTTTTAGCCTGTTCATTTCTTATGTATTAGAAATACGAGTGGTTAGCTGAAGCGTGTAATATCTACTAATAGACAAAAATGCAGTTTTTAAGTGTGTCGGATTCTTGGGACCAGCTCTCCTGATGGGCTGTACTGTCATGTTAGTTTAACACTGAACAACAGTGGATTTATATGAGAAACCAGCTAGTGCCGATGACTTTGTATGAGGTTCTTATGTTAAAATAGCCTAATAGCCAGGTGTGTTTTTTGTTCTTTAACAGATCTGCCAAAAATTTTAAATCTGCATTTATTAAATTCAGGAACAAAAGATGTGCCAATTACAGTAAGTTTTATTTCCTTTCAATTTGAAACTTTCTACTTGGATTTACTTTCTCTCATGAAATTGATCATTCACAGGTTCACCATGTAGTGTTCAGAATTAGAAGCTAGGTGATGTGTGACTGAAAACGTATCTTAGTAGAAAGACAAATGATCTACATGCATGGTAAAATTCATTTGCTTCATAGCCACCTTTGAATGGCTGTTTCAGCACTTACAGGCTGTGCCTGCAGTATCTGAGCCTCTGGAAGCTTTTATACTTGGGAACAGTAACTCCTTTTCAGTGAACAAGAGATAGATGCAGAGGCTAGGGGATTCTTTGTCTTCATCACACACTCCGTGAGAGTGTATAAAGTGGTTGCCCAACATAATCTTTTAAGATAAGCAAAGAATAGCTTTCAAGTGCAGACTGTAAAATGACCCTTTTTTTCTTGAGGTTATCTGCTGTGTAGCTTGAAATAAGGAAAAAGCCTGCAAACGCTCTAGAGCCCTTTCCAGTGAGATCACTGCAGCTGCACGTAAAGTGCAGCCAGCTTCAGAATTCTAGGTTTTGGATTTTCTACTTCCTATTTTTATTACAGAATTTTGGCTCTCATCTGGTAGTCCGCCTTTGTTCATTCATACCTTTTTCCTGTGCAATTTTTCTCATTACCCACTATTTTTCTCACTTCTTCCTTCTCCCCTTCCTGTCTTCCTTGTTTTCCGGATTTAATTGTATAGCTAGCTATACCTAGTCCTAGTACACTTCAAAAGTGTTGAAGTGTTGAAAAGAAACCAGAGGAGCCAGAAGAATGACTGAAGGATTGGCAAAGGTTTCCTACTGAGCTCTTGAAAAGCATTTCTGTGTTTTTAAAGCTTATAGCTGTAACTGTAGGGAATAGTATTTTAATAGCAGAAGTCTAACAAAAAAATTAAATAAGATCGTGGAAACTGAGGCTGGATGAATTGAAACTAGAAGCAGGACACATTTTTAGTAACTGTGATTATAGTCCATTGCGATGCTTGCTAAGTTGTTGTTCACTAATAGTTTTCAAGTCGAGAGAATCTTGCAGTATAGTGCAAACAAGAATTTAATTCATCAAAGTCCTAATGCTTATTGCATTAATGAGGTCAGATGATCCTGTAATGTCTCTTGTGGCCTCGTAAGCCATGAACCAGCTTCCATGGAGGGTTTTTATTTATTAAAAAAAACTGTATATGAATTTTACAATCAGAGGGTTGGTAAATTTATTAAATTACTTTTCCAGTTATGTCTGCTGTCTTATATCATGTCCACCTTCTTAGATTTACCAGGTTTTTGGCATAGGGACGGATTTTTTTGTGGTTGTTTGTTTTTTTCTTTTTTTTTTTTTTTTTAAAAGTGTATAATGTACTTCCTGAGTACAAGGCAAATAACCATGTATTCAAACCATCACTATCGCTTCTAATATCTGATAACGTAGTACCTAATTCATACTTCTCCATTAAAAAAAAAACCCAAAACAACAACTATTGGATCATAGGCTATAAACCATAGACTGTGGTCTAATGGAAGGCTATCATTTGGTAACCATTATACATGTAATGACAGAACTTTTCCAGATTAATTACTCTTTTGCAGTGTTTCAAAGCAGTAAATTTGGTCTTAAAAGTCCTAAAAACTTAAAGCTTTTAGGACTCATTTCTGCAATGATACAAGTTACCACATAGGTCCAGATATGATATATTTTTCAGTGTGTCACATATGGCACGTCAAATCAATTGTTCTTCTCATTAAGGCACAGCTTTGTTGTGGAGTTTGTAACCTTTCTAGCGTTTGAAGCACTGTGTGAATTTCTGCTGCTGTGCCAATCAAGGAATTTCAAAGTCGTAAGCAAGAGTAAAGAATTTTTGGAAGGAACCTGGTGAATGGCTTGCTTCTAGGAAAGCTTGAGAAATGGATTTCTGACCCTTTAGAGCTAGGGTTTAAAAGCAGTGAGGCGGAGCTGTGTGACAGATTTCATCTTAATGTCAGAAGAAAAGGCCAAGGCTATATTTAGATAGATTTAAGCTGGGTGCTGGAGGAGCTAAATATCTTCAGGTCATCTGCGTATGAGAGACTGCTAATAACTGTTGCCAGAGTTGTAGTTGTTCTGCCTTTAAGTACTTAGTCATGCTGTGATCCAACAAACTGGTTGAGGAAAATAAGAGCGAGTCACTTGACTTTCTTTTTTGAGTTGTAAAACTCTTTAGAAAAACATCCTTAGTTACATTTTGTAGGGTTTTCTCTGTTATTAGGGAGAATCATGTTTATTTCCTGACTGGATGAACTGTTGTCGTGCTGCAACCATTAAGCCATCAAAATGCTGTCAAAAATGTAGTAAATGTAGGTTGTTGAACACTTTCTTTTAACCCTTCCCTAGAATGAAAATTTTGTGTTTCCTTAAGGCAATTTAGGCCCGTTGGATTGCTAAAAGCAAAGGCACACTTTAAAATTTGAGCTCCTGATCATGTTTGATGCATAAAGAACCAGAGGCTTCAGGACAGCTGTATACTGAAGCTGAATTCTATCAACTTGAAAATAAGTGTTTGTATAACAAAGTATTTGCTTACTTCTGTCACAATTCACATACTTCAGGTTTTTTTTTTCTCTTATCAGCCCACCAGCAGTAGTTTACTTCTGCATTATGTTTTCAGTCTGCACATTTGAGTGCACGCATCACAAAGTCACCAAGGGAAAGTTACTTTAAAGGACTAAAATCTAGTAGCAGTTTATTCCATGGCTGTTCTGGATGGTGCTTTATGATGAAAGTGAACTTGAGTTAGTTAGGTGTGTCCCTGTTTAAACTGAAGACCACGTTATTAGCGACAAAATAATTGTGTCTAAAAGTGAGTAAACCAGTCCAAAGGTGGGTCTGACACTAACGGCCCCAGCCTTAGTCCGCTGCCTGTAGCTACAGGGCTTTTTCCTCTTGCAGCTGTATCTGTACTATCTGTAAGCAAAAGTCTGCAGCCTGCTCACTCTTTGGAGCAATATGCTAGGTGGACAAAACTATGTTCAGGAGCCTGTTGACAGGTAAACACTATGGATGAACACATGCCAGCGTTTCAACCCGTACTCTTCTCCTCTTTAGTTAATTAGAATAGGTGTAGTCTGAGAGTCGTTAAACCTTGTCTTTCCCAATAACTGCTGCAGTAGCACAAAGCTTTCTCCCCTTCTGTGTTCTCTAGAACATTTAAGGTCCTCATTTTCTGCTCTTATGCTAAATATTGAATGTATCTTCATGCAGCAGGGTCAGGAATCTTGACTGGGACACTCCACGTGTTACTAAACCATGTGTTACTGACGCATGTCTCTCTTAAATTCTTCTTCCCCACAGAAGTTGCTGTTAGGAGATTTTTTTTTTTTTGAGAAAATCGGTGATATAGATTCTTGATGGAAGTTGTTTTGCATGTATTGTCATGACCTGTCGATATTTGATGATTCTTAAGGCACACCTCAGCCCAAGCTTTGCTTGGACTTTATTTGAAATAGGTTAAAATTTGAGGAAAGTGAAGTTGAAAGGATTCTTAAGGATGTTTGTTTTTCTTTTAGTTGTCTTAATTCTGTATTTCCTTTTATAGCATGTAATCAAGCAACAAATGAGAAATATGCATGATGTAGTTAAGAAGTTTTCAACAAAATAGTGTAAATTTCTTCCTTAAATAAATTCATTAGCTGTAGACATTTTGAGTAAATACATCTAGGTTTCTTACAGTTGTGGTTTGAGATGCACCTCTGAAATCTGCCATTTTTCTGGCAACAGGCTATCCTTTTGAATATTTCCAATTTGATTTACTAAATGAAATCAGCATAATTTTTAACTTCAATAATTAAAGACCAGCCTTTTGCATGAAAAGAGCTACTAGAAATAGTTATCTTTTCTGCCATGCAAAAGGTTATGAACTTGATTACAGCTTTGGTTTCATCTCTTTTTAGAAGTTTTTTTTTAAAGACACCTCAAGATCTCAGTTTTGTAGTATGGATTTCATTAGAAGAAAATTGTGATAATTATGAATTGACTCGTGAAGAGAAATGGCAAATATCTGCACCACATATGTGCAGATGGTTGACCAAGGTCAAAATACAAAACTTCTAGTTAACAGAGATTATTTGTTAGCTGCAGGAGCAGTACTGCTTGTTTCCTCTAAGGATCACATATGTATACATGTGATTTTACGGCTTTAATTTACAATCAAGGGCAGCTTAGCTTGGAAGAACTGTAGGTGGTTTGTACCACTGGCCATCTGCCTCGCTCCTCTCTGACCAAGAAAGGCTCAGCCACTTATGAAGCAGGTGCTAAACCTCTGTAGCCCAGCATAAGGTAAACCAGCACGCATTTCAGTTTCTTTAATACAGCATCCTGTAATTCACAGTAGTTTAACAGCTGCTGCACGAACAGCTGAGCTGTTCGTGCAGCAGGAGAAGACAGCTGGGGAGGAGGAATCATGGCAGCCATCCTAATTTTAAGCAAAACAAGAATACGAGCATTTAAATGCTCTGTGCCCAGTTTCTCTCCGTGGAATCTGGATAAAGAGTTTGCTAGCAATCTTTATAGACTCTTCAGATGGTGATGTGGAATCCATAATCCGGCTGCATAGCAATGAGTATCTCTACAAGTCAGATCTTTTCTATTTAGTTTAAAACAGTAATCCTCAGATACAAAAGGTGATCTTGTAAAATGTTGGTATAGAATGTCATCTCAGATTTACACAACTGTTCTCTATACAGTTTGTTTTGTTTTGTTTTTTTTACCAGTATCATCACTGGTAATTACACAAGTCAGTTAACAGCTTTGTTAATGAGTGCACCAGACACAAATAGTCTAGCTATTGTAACCCTGCAACATAAAGAATAAAAAATAAATCTTAAAGAAAGCTTGTTGTCTGTTTTACTAACATGTTTCTGGCCATACTGTCACTTCATCCAACATTCCCAAGGAGAACTCTCTATTGCCCACTTCCCTGCATACTGACCGAGTAATTTGCAGGACCTGAAAAAAAATTCTAAAGCTGCTTATAATGCTGCTTTATATAGGAAAGACAAACCTGTAAGAACTCAGCCAAAACTAGTTGCAGTTATATCACTTTGAAGGATACGTGAAGGCTGCACAGTGTGTTAACAATGATAAATTTACAGGTGCTTCATATTTTGATTGTTTGCAGAGTGTTAGACCTACACCACAGAACGAAGCTATAACAGTACATTTCAAGCCAGTTACGTTAAAAGCCTCTGAAAGTAAATATACCAAAGTTGCAAGTATTAGCTTTGATGGTAAGTACTGCTCCTCTCTTCTTAGAACTTGTCAAGTACTTCTTAAAACTTGCTGCAACTTCATGAATTATTTCCACTCTCTTAACAAATGTTATTTGTAATTTTGAGAAGGAAATGCAATTTTCCTATCTGGAAAAGTCTTACAGTTCTTCTAACTTCAGTTATTTCTGAAGGGATTGTCTCTGATCATAATCAGCAAGTAACTTAAACTGGTAAATACTGATGAGAAGTGAAGGAGTTCTTAATTCTTCTATTAAACATAGGCAACATTCTTATGTTAAGACACTGATTATTTAAAATGTATTCTTAGTCTAAATAGGCATTTGTTTTTGAGAAATCCTAACAAACTAGGACTTGTTCCTCACAGTACTTTATATTGGAGGAGAGTATGTCTCTTGGATTGCCCTTTGATCCTTCCAAAGCTTAAGAAAGAATACAAAATCTTACTTCTTAGAAAATGACTTTTTATGTTTGTTGTGGTTTAACCCCAGCTGGCAACTAAAGCCCACCCAGCCGCTCGCTCACTCACCCACAGTGCAATGGGGGAGAGAATCAGAAGGGTGAAAATAAGAAACCTCATGGGTTGAGATAAGGACAGTTTAATAGGTAAAGCAAAAGCCACGCACACAAACAAAGCAAAGCAAGGAATTCGTTCCCCACTTCCCATGGGCAGGCCGGTGTTCAGCCATCTCCAGGAATGCAAGGGCCCCATCACGTGTAACAGTGACTTGGGAAGACAAACACCATCCCTCTGAACGTCCTCCCCTTCCTTCTTCCCCCAGCTCTATACGCTGAGCATGATGCCATATGGTGTGGGATATCCCTTGGGTCATTGGGGTCAGCTGTCCCGGCTGTGTCCCCTCCCAACTCCTTGTGCCCCCCCAGCCTCCTCGCTGGTGGGGTGGGGTGAGAGGTAGAAAAGGCCGTGGGGCTGGGTAAGCCCTGCTCAGCAATAGCTAAAACATCCCTCTGTTATCAGTGCTGTTTTCAGCACAAATCCAAAACACAGCCCCATACCAGCTACTGTGGAGAAAATTAACTCTATCCCAGCCAAAGGCAGCACAATGTTGGAATGCCCATGGAAGCAGGGCTCTGTCATGCTCTTGAGACGCTTACTATGAAAGCTGGCTTATTTTGCTATCTTGAATTTATATTAAAGAAAAAGGGAGGTGAAGGTGGAAAAACCTTTTACTGGTACATTTCTTGCGAAGTTATGTTATGTGTGCCGATAGTGACTTTCATTTATATCTTTATGAAAGAAGTTGGGTCATTTTCTTCCTACATAGTGTGACTGTAATTACTATGCTGACATTTTGTAGAAAGGCACCTCCATTTTAATAGACATTTTAATCAACTATCAGAATGCTGTTGACCTACTCAGATGTTACTGCTTTAAGATAGTAGTTGGTGCTGTAAGTCTTTCTGCCTGGATTGCTTAAAAATGGAAGTTTATAGATGTGATGTTTTTCGTTTCAGGTAGACATAGTTTTAGAAGTTGTATGGCTAGAGAGGAGAGGATTGATTTTTATTATTGTTATTTATTGATTAGCACTTCGGATATTTAATAGCTTACAGTTTGTAAGATGAGTGAAGTATGTTTTAGCCTAGAAATAAATTCTGAAATAACTGAACTCTGTCAGCCTGAGGTGGTACTATGTTCAGATTTTGAAGCTGGAGGGAATTGTTATGAGGACCTACTAACTTATGGTAGATGTTGGAAGGCATGGTAGTTGAGGAAAAAATACCCAGTCAAACTGCTTAGTGTATTTAAGGGATTGACTTGGTCAATTCCTTTCAGTGAAGCAGCCAGCCCTAAATGTTTGCTCTTTCAGCTGTCCTAATACATGCAGGGGCTTTAGGGGCTGGTTGGTTTCTCCTAACTAGTATTTGAATCCCTTGACTCTTCTGGCGATATTGCTACCAGGCTAACCTTGCTTGTTCTATGATCTTGGAGCAGACCTGTGAGCGTCATTCTTGGTGCTTGTATAGATTCCATTTCTGTAAATTTTAGCACGTCTTTGATTTCTTCATTATTAAAATGTTGCCACGTTCCTGGCCCAAAGTCCTGCTCAGCTGGTAGTTCTAAGTGAGGATCCCAGCCATCTCGAGTTGCTCTTCCACTAATGGAGGGATAGGTGTATTCCATACTCCTAAGTGGGGAATTCAGCTCACCTGGGATCTGAATTATCCTTGGACATGTCCAAGTTAGTTATTTGACAGGAACAACCAGGCTTCCCCATCATAGATAGGCTTACTAACTCAGGCAGGTCAACTAACTGGTGTTAAGGGGGAGGAATTGAGAACTTAGATCTCTTAATTCCTAGACTTATTCCATGTCAGTTGCTTATTGATGTTTCCTTAAGATCCATTTTTCCCTTCTATGATACTTCATTTCTGGGTTACCTCTGTGCTTTTATTCTTCCACTCGTGCTGGTGTAGCCTAATAGGTAATATTTCTTTTGTCTCCTTTAACAAACTACTTATATTTTTGTGTGTACAGCATCAAAAGCAAAAAAAGCATCACAGTCTTCTGGGAAAATAACTGTTAAAGCGAAAGAGAAGAGCTACTCCAAACTTGAAATACCATATCAAGCAGAAGTGTTGGATGGGTAAGCTTATAGTAATTGAACCTAGTTCCAAAACTAAATGCTATAAATTAGCTGATGTAGCAGGGAATTTAGCCTTTTTTAATGGGAGAGGGGATATAAAGAGATGATCCCCAAGTTTTTGGAATCTGGAGCTCATTTAGAACTACAATTACTTGTTTGAATTTTTCTGTTTTCACCCTAGTAGATGAGGTAGTCTTAGTAATGCATAAGCTGGTTTCAAGTCTTGGACTCAAAGTGACCTTAGTGAGTTCTTTTTCAGAGCAGTGGAAGGCTGCAGATGAGACATTTTAAAAATGCAGTATTGGAAATTTTTCCGGTTTTGCATTTGCAGTTGTATCGCTATATGAAGTAACGGTAGAGAAAGTATTTTTGGTTTTAAGCAAAATTTTGGAAGAACTGTCAGTGCTTCCTTATTTTTTGTTACTTATTTACAAAGTATGGCTAAGTTGGCTTTAAAATTGTTGTTGAAATGAGGTGCTACTTTATCAACAGAACTGACAGAGTATTTTAAAGGCAAACAAACTAAACCTTACCTATCAGAACTTTTGTATTGCAGACGCCTGATTTGGTTAACAAGGAAAACTATCTTAATACTTCAACGTTTCCTTTTAGTCTTCCTAATGTGCTGATTCACACATTTTCTTACCTCATTTGAATTACTTAATTATCAATGTCCCTGTAGTGCTAATAATATCATTTCAGCATGCAGTGGGGTATGTACCTGTTTTGCTGTTGGATTGAATGAATGCTAGTCTGTTGTGTAAGAAAAACACTTTATGTTTGAGGAAAGTCTTTATTTTTCACATACTGTTTTCCTTTAATAGATATTTAGGATTTGATCACGCTGCCACACTTTTTCACATCCGTGACAGTGCTGCTGATTCTGTGGAAAGACTGATCTATCTAACAAACACATTCAGTTTTGCAGTCCTTATACATGATGTTGTGTTACCAGAAGAAGCAAAACCAATGTTTAAAGTAAGCCCCCCTTTAGTGGATGTTTTTACCTAATAGTAAATGTTTAAATGTGCTGCACTTTGTTAAATTGTAACATTGATCTTCATTGTTCACTGATCTAGGTCCAGAACTTCAGTAAACCAGTCTTAATTCCACCTAATGACTCCAGATATATTTTTACACTTCATTTTATGCCTTCCACATCATCTGTTCATATAGATAATAATATTTTACTCATCACCAATGCTTCTAAATTTCACCTGCCTGTCCGAGCATACACAGGTTTTTTAGATGTAAGTATTTTCCTTTTTTTTTTAGCTACTTTAGTCTAATTAGAAGTAGACTTCATAGGACTGTTTTTAATTCTTTATTCTATTTCTATGGGAGGATGGCTTTTTTAATTTCAAAATTATTTTACCGGTTCTTTTGTTAAACAGCTTTGGTTATTGCTGAAAAATTCTTTTTTGTTCCCTTTAGTTTTACATAGAAAATGTATAGAATTTTGAGATTGTCATGGTACTGCTGTATTAGACTTATTAATGTATTTGTTAATGGACTTAGAGTTTCATCACATTTTATATTTAACTCATGCTAAAATACCTTTATCAATCTTTCTAGTACTTTGTACTGCCTCCAAAAACTGAAGAACGATTTATAGATTTTGGCATATTGAGTGCAACAGAAGCTACCAGCATTTTATTTGCAGTCATCAACAGCAATCCGATAGAGGTAAGGATGAATTTATTTTTAGTTTGCCTTTTAAAAAATTTACATCAGTGTTGTTACTGAAAATAGTACTTTTTGTTCTTTTTAAGCTGGCTATAAAAAGTTGGCATATTATAGGGGATGGTTTGGCCATAGAACTTCTAACAACCGAAAAGGGAAATAGAACAACAATAATTGCAAACCACCATGAACTACAAAATGCTAGTGCATCTGATCAGTCTTCAGTAAGTAATCCTTTGAATCCATTG